TTTTTTTTTTTTTTTTTTTTTTTTTTTTTTTTTTTTTTTTTTTTTTTTTTTATTAAGCAGCCACTTCCGCTGGCACTCAGATTCTGGGTGAGCGTTTGGCCCACTTCTCCCCTCTACCTCGACAAGTAAGCAACTGGTTTTCCCCATTTTCCACACCTATTTCCCCACACTCGAAAGCCGCTTCAAATTAGTCTCGAATGTGGGTGCGTTGCGACTTCGACTCCAAGAGCCATAAAATCCAAATAATAAAGCAGAACAAAAATATTTGAGATGGGTTCCCAATTCTCTCGATACCCTGTCTGTTTCCAGTCAGCGCGTTGTCTTTCCTTTTCAATTGTTAATTTATGCGCGCGAGGCAGGAAATATTAATAGCAATAGGTAGACTGGTCATATCTACGAATGCCAGACAGCGGAAGCTTAGAGACCTCTGTAGAAGGCACGGGGGTCGGAACTTAGCCCGGTGGTCCGCTAAATCAGAGCGCATCGAAGCGCGGCTGAGGCGACGAGTCTGATCCAATGCATTGGAGTTAAGTCTGTATCCCACTTTCTCTCTCTCTCTCTCTTTCTATGGCCATATGTTCAATTATAGAAACATTCATAGTTAGATAAATATACATACGTATATATTAGTGTACGTTTCGAATAGGCTCTACTGAGTCACGCGTACTAAAGTGGAATCGGGTCTCTGATTTATATATATTTATGCATAATCAACGCACAGCCAGAAAAAGTTGACTCAGAAGTGATTTTTCTTAAGAGCGAAATTTTCTTGGAATCTAAAGTTGAGGTAATTGCAGAATCTAAAATATTGCTAGTCTTAAAAAGAATATACAAAGGTTCTAACACCTGGGTCAAGGAACTTGTAAGTCTTGCATTAACCTACAACCTTTTCATCTATAGATCATCTATATCTATAGTAAGGCATGTATATATTTTAAACTATGCAATTTATTTAGGTATGTTAATAATTATTTCGATCTGTAGCTTTATGGCCATAAAGTATGTTGTATGGAAAGTATGTAGTCTATACGCTCTTGAATAGTTTCTTTATGAATTTCACGAATTCGAATGAGCAACTTTGAACTTTTCATGTATTCCTATTGGATGTCACTAGGTATATAGCAAATCCCACTTTTAAAAATTTCAAATCATGCATTATATGTACATAGAGTTTCAATCAGATTCATTCTATAATTATTAACAATGACACTACGTTTAAATTTGTTGTTACCTAAATTCATGTGATATTTGCCGGGATGGCCGCGAAAAGATCTGTGCTTGGTACCTGTAGAAAATAAAGAGAGAATGAGAATGAAGCTCGTGGTTCAGTGAACAAAGGCGTTCAACGAAAGAATCAAAACTTAATTTAAAACTATTTTATTTAATGCTTGTTTTCAATTCTACTTTTCAATGGACTTTGTACAATGGGTTGGATGACATTTGTGAAGAGCTGTCCGAAAATAAAAGTTTAAATTATATTTATATATATGTATATAAATAAACACACACATACATACATATATACAGATATATTTATATACATATGTATATTCATAGACATAAATCTATGTACAGTTAGAACGACATCAAAGCGGCTAAGCATTAAAGAGACAGTGAAGAATGCTTACTGTATATAAAGAGCTCTAGCAGAAAGTCAGAGCCAAAGGCAATTGCTGAAGGCCAATTAGAGCCTCGGCCACAAACATGTTGCCAACAACAACAACAACAACAGTAGCAAACAAACAAGCAATAACAATGTTAAATGCTGTAATCTTGAATGGAGAATAAGAAAAGTATTTGACGGATGCGCAAGCAATTTTTAAAGCTCAACCACTGGAGATATTACGCGAGAACGACCCCCACCGTTGCCCCCTCCATCATCCCTCAGCAGACTTTTGACAAAATAGTTGCTTCGCCCTCGTCAAATGTGATTTAAAGTGTGTTGCCAACATGAATTGAGGCCAACGAACTCTCCAGCAGAGTTGTCTCCATCCAAAGACAACGTCGCACAGATCCGGCAGCTCCAAAGACTTGCGACTAGAAACGAATGCAAGTCATTAGCGGGAATTGGAGCATAGAGAGAGTTAAGACTTATACTCAGATTTTGTGAAATGACGCACAGCTAATCACAGTTAGAGTGGGTGATGGGAGCTGCTTCACTTTGCGGCTGTGGCTAATCTGATGTCAGCTTTTGCTCTCGTAAGCAATAATATGCAAGTGCAGCGTCATCTAAAGTTGGGTGGAGGCCATATACATGCTCAAAATCTTGGCTGGTAGCAGGGTTAAGTTAAGTTGCTATAAGTACTTGCTGCATACTATATATTATCTTAGAACTAGATTCAATGGTCCTCAGCGATATTGGCTTGAGATACAATGAAAGGATGATTCAAGTTGACTTAAATACATGTATGTAGTAGATACGGTAAGTTCCCAATACAAGCACCAAGCACACACCGAGAACACTTCAATAAGATTTTAATATTAATAGTGAATTAAAGGAAACGTAAACGATTTAAGTCTCAGTCTCGTATTATATAAATTTATTTTTAGATAATATTCAATAACTCTTAACTGGTGCCACGCCCTGGCGCTACTTAGCCAACTCGCAGTAAAATTGATGCATTTGCCTTTTAGCTCTTCCGCGCCTCTTTTGCCTTCGGTGTCTGATTTATTTGAACGAAATGTCTCTTTCATTCAATAATTCACTCAAGAGCGTCCGCTGAGCCATTAGTCACATTGTCATTCATTCATTCATTAGCCGCTTCACAGCTCGCTTTTTCATTCATTCACTTATGCATCATTCATTAGTATTCGTGTTTGTATTTGTATTTGTGTTTGGCTGTGGCCCTTAGCTCGTTTGTAGCTTTTGCATTTGTGCACGTTTCTCTCGTAGTTTTGCTTTAGTTTTCAGTTTTCAGTTTCCAGCTGAAACTCTTATTTCTGTTAATGCACAATTCTTCGTGCCCCGCCCTCATTTTGAAAGCTCTTCTCAAGGGCTTTCGTGTCGTACCCGGCTTTGGCTTTGGCTCTGTCTCTGACTTTCAGCTGGACTATCGTTCTGTTCACGTTCTCGTTCCGTCTGGCTTCTGCTTCGCTTGTCCGATTTCATTCCGATTCTCGCCTTGAGCCAGGTAGTCAGGCAGCCCCTTTTGGCTAGTTGAGTTCAGTTAGGGCCAACACAGTCAACAGTAATCAACTTTTACGGTTTACATTTAATTAGTCATTTCTCTGGCTTCCGATATGTTGTGTAGAGGAAGGATTGCAAAATATAATTTGCTCTGATTTCTACACAAGGCCAATGCTATTAACGTGGCTTTAATTGTGTGAAATTAGTCGCTATCTAAGTTTGTTTAATTAACTTAACTGTTGGATTTCAAATTTCACATATTGTGAAAGGAACTTGCTGCGGCATAGTTAGCATTCAGAACGAAAATATTCTCAGTCAGCCACCGCTAGCGAATGCATTCGTCCTTATGCAAGGCCAATGCCATATGGTTATCTAGGGGGCTAGTTGCGCTTACAAGTTCATTTTTCAATTTGACATCGCATGTTAAGTAACTGACACTCGGACATAATGTCGAGAATGTAAAGGAACTCAATTTGTATATGCATATACATACATACATACATATATGCAAAGGTAAGTACCTCACCTGGAGGCCAAACAGAAAACCAACAAAGTGCGAAAAACTAAAGCGAATGGCGAAAACAGAGAAAATGAATACGAATAAACTGAAATGCAGTTAAAGTAAAAAACGTAAAGTAAATGCGAAATATAAAGGCGAGAGAAAGGGAGCGAGCGACAGAAAGAAGATGGCAGAAACAAAGGAAAACATTTGAATGGGACGAGGTCCCTCTGCCTCGGGTAGAGCATCGAGTCCTGGGAATGGGTTAGGGTAAAAGGCGCGCAGTCTGTCTGTGTGCCCGCACTTGGCGAAAAATCCACCCTTGACAGTGAGTACTGTGACTCGACTGAAGTCGCTGGCAAATTTTTACCACTTTTGTAAGGATTCCACTCAAGGCTAGTCCTGGTCTCGTTGCCGTGTCCTTAAAGTGAAATATGCGTTTCATTTCTGTTGCTTTGTGACGCAGCGCTGCAGGCGCAACGTCAAGCGCTGTCACGCCCCCTCTCTGTACACACACATACACACTGACAGACTAAGAGAGTGCCATATGTTGTGCAGAGCAGCAGATGAAAATCAAGTGTGTGCATTGAATACATATATTTAAA